TCTCCCATGTAAACTATCATATAATTCACAATAAAACATTAAGAAAAAAAAAAAAACTGTAAAATCTCAATCTTTAGAATGCATTATTTCCCAATGTCTTTATAGGGCAAAAAGTACAAAAACTAAGTATGACAAATATAAACTTAAAAGATATACTTGACCATTAACTTCACTAATTTTATTAATATAACATTCTGAATGTCAAGGATATAGTTTTATATGTAAAACTACTATAAAACCTGGCTTGTCCAATAATGATAAACTACTAGTAGTATATTTTTTTATGAGAAAAATTTACAGTGATACCATTACTTTTACTTTTACCTATAGGACATCAGATACAGAGACCAGATTTCCCATGTCAGTTTCATCTAGCTTAAGATTTCTCAAAAACTTGTAAATTCCTATTCTTAACTATTATATAAATAACAATAGACAATTCACAGAATTCAGTTACATTGATTTTGCTAAATAGCACAGCTGCAAATAATACAATCAAAAGTTGAGAATTTTATACATAATTACAGAAAATTACACTGAAAGTAATAGGGAAAGCAAAGGAGAAAAAATTCACTATAAGTTTTCATCAAAATCAATATTAAAAGTAGAAACAAGTACACATACTATGATAATGTCATAGACTTCCATATCTCTTCTACATTGGCCTCCGTCAGCTGTCTGCGGTGGACAAGACGGCAAGCCGGCACTTCTCCAATAGCAATACTGTGACGCTTGTACCAAAGCTCAGAATTCTAACAGAGAGAGAGAGAGAGATTGTAACTCTTTTAACATAAATGCTATCATTTTATTAGAAATTTCTTTCATTTGGCTACTTCTTATTAAATTCAAAACATAATTAGGAATATACATTCACTTTATGTGAATTTCAGAGGAGTTCTTCTCAGGCAGTGTTTCGTTCTGCTGTGCATAAGGTCTCTATGAGTCAGTACGACTTGATGGCATCTAACAACCAACAACTATGGAGTTGGTCCCTTACTCATGTTAACACATGCACAATGAAAGGAAATGCTGCTCAGTCCTGTGCCACCCCATCATTGGTTACAGATCAGAACATGTGATCCATATGGTTTAAATTCACTGACTGTCTGAGAATAAATTACCTAGCTAGGAAGTAGAGACACTCTCTTCCTAGTCTGTGTTAGTTTGGAAGCTCCACTGAAAACTTCAGCATCAGAGCAACATACAAGTCTCTATTGACAGATGGGTAGGGGATGTGCGTTAAATGCACTGGCTGGGAATCAAACTTGGGTCCCCCATGTGGAAGACACTCATTCTACCACTGAACCATCATTGCTCTCCTCAAAGGAGGAAAAGAAGGCTCTCAAAGATGAGGTCATAGTGTAAGCGAATATTCAAAACTTATCCAAAAGCTCTGGCAATATGTATGATACTAACTAGGTATTTTTTTCCTGTGGGACTTGGATTAATCAATGAAGTACAAGTGAAACACAACTCTATTAATCCAAAATTAAGCAGAAAAATACCTATCCAATTCCTTGTAATGTCCAAATTGAACGATGTTTTACAATAAAATTGAAAGAATTTTCAATTATAGTGTATTACATTCATGAGTCTATGATTTTTAAAAAGCAATGATTAAAAACATATAATATTGGATAATGACCCTTGATCTTCAGCACCTATGGAGAGTTGGAAAAACAAGAGTTCCACAAGGAGGGCCCAGAGATGCCAAAGAGAAGAAAAGAAAGTATAAACTAGAGAAAGAGCTCTTTTCATTAATCCCTACCCATGGAGAGAAAAATGAAAATTTAGAGAGAATAAATAAATTGCCCAAAGTGGCACAGCTCTACCACCTCCACAATCCCACTACCTCATTTCTCACATGCAGGCTGCTTGATGTGATTCATAACACATCCCTTTGGTAATCTCAGAAAAGAATGTTGAACTTTTAAAGGTAAAACATATAAGACATCATTTGCAAAAGAGTTTCTATAATATGTTTTACAAAGGTTTGTTGTTGTTGTTGTTATGTGCCATCGAGTCGGTTCCGACCCATAGCGACCCTGTATAGGGTTTCCGAGGGTGTAAATCTTTACGGGAGTAGAAAGCCTCATCTTTCTCCCGCGGAGCGGCTGGTAGTTTCGAACCGCTGACCTTAAGGTTCGCAGCCCAATTCGTAACCACTACACCACCAGGTAGCATTATAAAAAAAAATTACAAATTTGGAACTAAAAGAATATGAAAAGTGGTTTTTGGTGGTGTTTTCTTTTTTGTTGTTCTTTTCTTCTCAGAATTTCTAACGTATTAATTGAAATTCAAGACCACATGGATTTCTGATATATTTTTTTTTAGTGTCTAAATTAAGTCAAGGGTTTATATCTTATATCTAAGTTAAGTTGTTATAGTTGCCCAGAAAACTCACTTCTAAATTTTTTCCTAAAGAAATATTTATGTATATATCCAAATATTTATCTGTAAAGATGTCACCAACTACCCTGTTTACAATACCAAAAAAGTGGAAACACTGTAAATATGTAACTATAAAGAACTCGATAAATAAAATACATTACTTTCATAAGAGACACTGAAATATTGAGAAATGATGTCAAATTTTTAATAACAGAAAAAAATAAGCATAACCCACTGTTCTAAATAAGAAATATGGGCTACAAAACATTCATAATGATCTCATTTTAATGGTAAAAACATACATGGAAAAAAAGATCTATTCCAAAAATGTTACTAGTAGCAATTCTCTCTAATATTACAGGTCCCTTCTTTTCTTCCTTTTCCTTGTTACTGTCATTCAGCTATGTGATATAACATTTTAAAGACCATTTTTAGTACATAAGGCATTGATGGTGCTGTGGGTTGAACTCTGTTCCACAAAAAGGTATGTTGAAGTCCTAATCCCTAGTACCTGTGAATGTGACCTTATTTAGAAATAAGATCTTTGCATATGTAATCAGGTTAAGATGAAATCATATAGGATTAGGACTGGGACAGTGGCTTCGTTTCTTAGTGTGGCTATAAAACCCCTTGAACAAACAGAAGTTGAGTGTCACCGTTAGGAGGCCAGAAGTCCCTGTTTAGAGGGCTGACTTGAGGAGAAGGTTTTCTCTCTGAGTCAGCTCTAGGGAAGGTCCTTGTCTCTTTTCAACCTGTTTCTGGGTTTCTTGGTGTTCTTCATGGGGAATGGCATGTATGTATCTTCCCTCATCTGCACTTTCTCGCTTCTCTATCTAATCTGCTCTTTTGATATCTCAAAAGTGATTGGCTGAGAACATACCTTACATTGATATGGCACATTAACATCACAAAGAAAAAAAACCTATTCCCCAATGGGAATCCATGCACAGGTATAAAAAATTCAAATCGTAATAAGTCAAGCTGAACCCTTGGTGACCCTATAAAACAGAGTAGAACTGCCACATGGGGTTTATAAGGCGGTGGCACTGTAGGATAAGCACTAGATCTCAAGGTTGAACTGGACCGCATGATTGGTGGTTCAAACTCACCAGCAGCTTCTCAGAAACCCCATACAGGGTCACTATGAGTCAGAACCCACTCAATGGCATTTAACAGCCACAACAACAGCAATCCTGGTGTGGCACAGCAGTATAAGCACTGGACTGCTAACCACAAGGTGGGTGGGTCAAACCCACCAGTTGCTTTTTACAAACCCTAGAGGGGGTAACTATGAGTCAGAACTGACTCATGGGAAATTAACAACAACAATCTTTAGGGAAGGAAAACCTCAAGTCTTCTTCCACAGAGCAGCCGGTAGGTTGAAACTCCCAATCTTTCAGTAAACAGCCAAGCACTTACCTACAGGTATTTTGTTGTTACTGTCATCGTCTAGTCAATTCCAACTCACAGCCACCTACAGGGCTGCCAACAGTGGCTGGCGGGTTTGAACTGCTGACCTTGCAGTCCAGTGCTTATCCTATAGTGCCACACCATGACTCCAACCACAGGTATGGCGGTAGTGGTAGTGTGCCACTGAGTCTGTTCCGATTCATAGCGACCCTGTATAGGGTTTCCAAGGCAACAAATCTTTACATGAGCAGAAAGCCTTATCATTCTCCCACAGAACAGCTGGTAGATTTGAACTGCTGATGTTAAAGTTAACAGCCCAATACGTAACCACTGTGTTACCAGGGCAACACATATTTTTGGGAAATATTCAATTCATAACAGATAATCCTAATGTAATGCCTGGTATCCATATAAAAAGGGAAGGGACACAGAATGAAACACATAGGCGAATGGCCATGTGGACATGTAGGCAAAGATTAGCGTGAAACTGCACAGCACAATCCAAGGACCCCTGCCCATCCCAGAAACTAGGAGAGATTCTCCTGCACTGTGAGAAAATACAAGTCTGTTTCTTGAGCCACTTAGTTTGTGGTAGAGGAAACTAATACAGAGGGAAAAGTGGGCCAAGTCTGGTGATTTCCACATCACCTCATCCAGCTGCCAGCCTGTAGGTCTTCTGGCACTTACCATAACAATTGGCCTTACTGGGATGTTCTCTTGTGAAGTGCCTGCTGGGAGATCATTCCACTCTGGAAATTTAATAACATTCTTTTGGTATGTTGGCTTCTTTGGGTATGGTTTCAGGGGTGAGGAAGGAGGAAATCTAAAATCAAGAAGAAATTTTCTATTATTACAGTCAGTGGGAGACAAAGGTATTTTGATAATAGTTCTGCTTCTTGTATCTTTGAGATTTTATATAGTAATTCTAAACCTCAGATAATATGACTCTCACATAACAAAATCATTACACATGATTAACCATACCCAACAATAACATATAGTTTTCTTTAAATGTTCAATTTTAAATATTAAATATTATTGTTGTTTGTCTCTGTTAAGTGTCATTGAGTCCATTCCAACTTATAGTGAGCCTGTATCGGGTTTCTGAGGAGTGGCTGGTGGGTATGTACCACCAACCTTGCAGTTAGAAGTCCAGTGCTTATCCTACAGCACCACGCCACACCAGGGTTTAGTCATTGTGCCCATTAAATAACATTTATGGAGAAAAGCAGGAATCAAATATGCGGCATAGTTTAATCATAAATAAAGCTTGTTTTCTTATTATTTGATATTACCATTACAGATGTTCTTAATGGGATGTTAGTAGGCCATTTCTCTCATGAAGCTCAAAGTCCTCACTGCCTCAAAACTCAAATCAAAATTTACAGACGGTAAATACACATATGCATTTAGAAATTATTGATAGAAAAATCTTCAGTAATACTTGCTGAGAAAGAATACATTAGCACAAAAATCGTGTGGGCTAACATTCACTTTTATCAGTATTTCCAATAGAGATTAATCTTACTTTCCCTGAATATCCAATGTCTCATATGAGAATTAAACTTCAGTCTAGAAACCCATCTTGTAAGGAGTTAGAAAATTCTTCCTATTTGGCCTTTCTACACTCCCTCGCTCCTAGGGATATATCTGTCTAGATAGCATCACTCTTTGAACTAATGTGTCTACCATCACTATTATCATTGCCTTCGAGTCAATTCCAATTCACAGAGACCCCATAGGAGGAAGAGAACTGCTTGTTGGGTTTCTGAGACAGTATATCTTTAGGGAAGCAGATGACCAGTGGGTGTGAATTTAGCAATTAGTAGCTTAACACTTAACCCACTGTGCCACCTGGGCTCCTTGTAGCTAGGTACCATCGATTCCAAGTCACTGTGACTTTCTGCACAACCAACTGAAACACTACCTGGTCCTACACCATCCTCACAATTGTTACGTTTGAGCCCACTGCTGCTGCCACTGTGCCAATAGGATGTACAACACTCTAACACAGGGCAGGGATTGGTTGGTTTTGCCATTCTGCTAGGCTTAAAGTGAGCCATCTCTGAAGCAGCAACAGGGGCTCTGATGACCATCAAGAAACAAGAGCCATGAGTGGCGCTGAGATCGCAGTGCAGATAAGCAGTGGTGCAGACACTTGGCAGAGCCGAGGCAGCATTTCCTTGTCCACAAAACAAGTAAAGCTGAGAGTGCCCTTTGGGCATTTATCAACAGCACTAAAACAGCATTTAACAGCTGTCTGAGCAGGGCAGAGGCCAAGGAGCCACTGGCTGAGAGGCTGAGAACAAAGAGGCAGGCACTCCTGACCAGAGAACCCTATAGGCTGAGTTGTTTCCGATCCTGAATTCTGTCCTATTAGCTTCCCTAATAAACACCATAATCGGAACATTCTTGGTAGGGCTATATAGCCACTGCAGTAGGTTCTAGAGCACAGTAGAGACTAGAGTGCCGTAGGAGGGGTGGTTGGTGTGGGAATAGGGTGAAGACCGTTGGCAGGTGGAGGCATGTCTCACCTTTACCTTATGGTTATAGGCCTTGGGCTGGAGATTTTCCTCCTTTCTACTTGTGAAATGGGAGGATGTCAAACATGGCCCTCATACCAATTGTGCAGATTGGTAAGAAAAATGAAAGAGACCTGGAAATTATTAAATCAACTCAAGATAAGCTAAAAGCAAGTTACCAAGGCAGGTTTTCCCAGTACATTCCCAAATACATACTAAACAAATCTTTTAAGCCAAGTCAAAGGTATACTACTTTGTAAACAAAGGGTGGCCTACGCAAGTCCTATCCTATTTCTTAGAAATCAATAATCAGAAGAATAAAAGTCCTAAGAAAGCCCAGCATGTATGCACAAACAGAAACACATACTCACACACAAATGTACACAATAGTGCATATCATTCCAGAGAATTTGAAGACCACCTCCCCAGTCCATTCAAAAATTAAACAACTCCTAACCTGACCCCACCACAAATACCCAATGGTCACTCCCTGATTTGGGGATCTGGGTTACAATTGTGGTTTCTTATGAACTGTCTGTGTATCCTTTGAAACATAAGAGGCTTTGTTTTCTAAGTCACAATTTTATTCATTTATCTAATGAAGAAATTAAATTGGGTGATCTATAAATTTCCTACTGGCTACAAACATGTGTTTCCTGTGTTCCCACATACAGAATCAAGTAACATCTTCCAAAGACCAAAGCAGAATTCCTTCTGAGGAGAACTGTGACTGAAGAGATGCCAGAAAGTTGCTTTTCTCCATGCTAAGATGAGCTCCTTGCGGTGAATAACATCTGTGGCCCTCGATACCAGGTATGGTGTCTAGTGAAAATAACAGCAACTTGAGACTGGCAACCTTGCCTGACATCCGCTACAGAAGAGCTCCCTCTAGTGGGCTATTATTACTTTCTGTAGTGAAAGTGATCATTTTCGTTTTCACCCTTTAATCAAGCAATCTTGGGCTAGAAAGTCTGTTAGGAGTTAAAAGTCCACATTTTTCACTGAACAAAATTAAGGTCTTAAAGAGGAAAACAATGTATTAAAATTTTGATGATGCAAACCATTTTACAAAAAATATTTACAAGCTCTTTAATAATAAATATATAAAATTGTATTGAAAAACACTGAAAAATTAATTTGAAAAAGGTACATATCATATGAGCAAATAAAACTTAATATCATAAAGTGTCAATTTCTTGCTAAAGATAGATAATTTCAGTGAAATTCCAATCAAAATATAGTTTTTTTTAATGAAATGTGAAAACCTGATTATAAAATTTATATGGAAATACAAAGAACCAAAAGTAATCAGGATACTCTTAAAGAGGAAAAATTAAGTGACATGATTTGCTTTACCATATTTCAAGACAAAATAAGATACCATGCCACTAGCGGCATATACCAGGGTTTGGCAACATCAGAACTATTAACATTCTGAGCTGAATAATTCTGTTCTGAGGGGCTGCTGATTGTAAGATGTTTAGCAGTAGCCTAAGCCTTTACATATTAGATGCTAGTAGCACCTTCTACTTTCTCTGTGATCACCAAAAATGTCTCCAGACACTGTCAAGTGTCCCCTGCAAAATCTCTCCCCGTTGGCATTCCCTAGACAAAGAGAACCCAAAACAAACACAAATACATATTTAGAAATCGATTCATGGAAGAGCAGGTATCACAGATCAAGGGGAAAGTAAAGACTATTCAATAAACAGTACTGGCTCAATTCATCGTCCATGAGAAAATAAAATTGCATTCCTGTGGCCAACTGCATGTCCAAAGTCCTCTAAAGCATACTTCCCCACCTCCACATGCTCTTCCGCAATGGAGTTCTGGGTAGTGAGTGGTTACAAGTCAGCATGCTAACCTCAAGGTCAGCAGTTCAAAACTATCAGTCATTCTGTGGGAGAAAGAAGAGGCTTTCTGCTCCCATAAAGATTTACAGCCTTGGAAAGACTAAGCAGGACTGGTAAGAGTCA